TCCCTTCCTTTTTTGATAGCTTCATTCTAATTATGCAATTCCTTCTTTTTCAGATTAAGTAGTACTCAGCTTTACGGTATAATGTCAGTAACCCAAAATCCTTCAAATTCTCCCTTCTGGTGACATTTAAATTGCTTCTCAGCAATTCCAGAGTACTTGTACAATGCCCAACAGGGACGGTCTCATTTCAAAGTGTAGGCTGCCACCTACTGACTGTGATCCCTCCCACTCAACACAGCTCTCCCCAGAAAGCCAGTCAGTCCCTCACAGGAGGTTATCTGTGCCGTCATTTGCTGTCATTTGAGGCAGTGTATGCCACGATATCAATACAATCTTTTAGTTTAATACAAATTCTTTCAACTTTAAAAAAAAAAAGAATACTAAGCAGACATGTTTCTGTATAGCGAAAAATTCCAGGCCTGTACTGAAAAGGGCAGAGAATTATTTTTAACAGGTATGTGCTATTTTTTAAATATGCAAAAAGTTCTCTTTTAACATATTTCTCTTCACATTTCCTTTATTCTTCAGTCCTGAAAACTGCAGCTCGCTCCCTCTCGTTCAGGAGAATAGTGCTGATTTATTTGTGCATATTGTTCAACCTGGAATTATTCAAAATCTGACTTCCTAGTCCTAAAGCTGGTGCAAAATTCACAGCAGCTGCTGACGACAAAGCTCAAAGTGAATTATCTCAGCCCCCGTCACGTGGACAAATCCGTAGGCGCTCTGAGTAGCCGACTTTTTCAAGTGAGATTTAGTTTCTCCCTCTTTTGACCTCTTTTTTAAGAAAGAAAATCAGACCAACCAAATATCATTAAAGGGAGAAAAGGAAATCTCCTTACTGAGGCCGCTGGCCACTGTTCCGGTGAGAGAGCGAAGGGTAAACTCACTCGACAACGTCACTTTACAAGCACCGCCTGACCCTACACTGGGAGCTGGGGAGGCACAGTTGGTTTAAATATCTGTCGCCTGGAGAGGCTGTGAGGGGCAGAGATCTGATGGGGAGACAATCACAGGATAACTCGCCATCTGTAATGCCAAATCTGAGCCGTGATAAAGCAGTGCTTGGCTGTGCCTGGAGGGTCAGGAAGGGCTTTACAGGGAAACTGCTGAAGGCAAAACAGGAGTTGACCAGGTAAACAGATGGGACAGAGGGATGGCAAAAACAGGGCCTTAGGGAACACATGCAGTAATTCATTATTAGTAAAGAATCAAGTGAATGAGGTCAGGTAGTCAGGCAGGGCACAGACCTCACAGTCGTTCGTATATCCTGCCAAGAAATATGCGTTTTAGAATGATCACATTGGTAACAACGTAGGGAATGGACTGGAGGGGAGAGTGACAAAACGGTCCAAGAAGAGATGAACAAGGATCTGAAGGGAGACACCAGGTCAGTGAGAACAGAAAGGAGGGCCATATTAAAGACAAACTATGAAGATAAAATCATAGGACTTGCCCGGATGTGGGAAATAACAAAGAGGGACAACACTGGGATCTCCCTGGTTCCTGGGTAGACAACTGAATGGATGATGGTGTATTCACCCAGACAGAAGATGTAGTGGGAAGCACGGATTCGCTGGGTGGCTATAACGACTTCAGCTGAGTTTGGAAATGCTGAGTTTCAAGTGACTGGAACATCGAGGTGAAGACGTGCAGTGGTACATCGAATACACAGATCCAAAGCTCAGGCCAGAGGTCTAGACTGGAGATGGAAATTCAGAAGTCACTAGTGTGAGCAGTAGGTGACACGGATGAAATGCCCCAGACAGAACGAGCAGTGAGAAGAGCACCATGCATGAGAACCTGGGCAGACAGCCAACAGAAGACACACCAACTTACAGAAGCACCTGGCATGCCACCTCACGGGCTCAGGGAAGAGGGAAGGCTAGAAACTCCTCCCACCAGATCTAGAGAAGACAGGTACAAAAGTAGAATTCAACTTCCGGTTTCCAGTTCAACATATAAGGAGCTTGGAAGTAACCACTCTGTCCTGACAACCAGTAAAAAGCTGAGCAGACTGAAAAATCGACAGCACTTCTTGGATGCATAAAAGAGGGAAGGACAAAGAGCAAACTGATGCCTCTGAGACTGGAGAGACAGACAGACGACTACAGGGAATCTGGACTTAGCAGAGCAGAGACTCCCGGGTGGAAACCACTGAGGGACCCAGCGCCAGGCCAGGAAAACTCAAACTAAAAGTGACGAACTGCCGGAGGCTCAGTGTGGACAGGTCTGAGAGTTAAAACCTCCAGCGCACCCAGTCATAGCGGCCCCCACAATATTGTAAGATTTACCTCCAGGAGCTCCACCAGGTTCCCACAGGAAACATGAGAAAACTCCCCTCTTGCTTCCAGCAGGGGAAGCAGACAGGGAAGCATTTTGAAACACACAGAGCACTCCCTTCTTAACAACGCCTAACCTCAGGTAAAACCAGCGAACCAGAGCCTAACCTGCTGGGTATTATCAGAGGACAAGTGACCAGTAAGTGACTGGGGGAAGGAAAGACCCAACTCCAGCCCACTCTAGCCATCCTGTCCCACCTGAAGGGGAAGAAAAAACTGAGAAACACTCATGAAGTTCACGGTCCAGAGGCAAATACTCCCTAAAAGACTGACACCTAGTCATAGGACCATAGGAGCTTCCCCTCCCCCTACACCTCATCAATACATCTCTAAAGGCCTCTTTAGAGCAGATCCTTTTGCCTGGTACATACAGTCTGGCTCTCAAGAAAAAATTACAAGGCATATCAAAAGGCAAAAGACACAATTTGAAGAGAAAGAGCAAGCATCAGAACCAGACATGGCAGAGATGTTGGAAAGATCAAACCAGGAATTTAAACAACTATGATTAATATGCTAAGCGCTCTAATGGAGAAAATAGACAGCAGCAAGAACAGATGGGCAACGTCAGCAGAGACGAAAATACTAAGAAAAGAACAAAGTATAATTCTATGTTTTAAATATTAGTTAATATATCCAAATATATTCAGATTATTCAAATACAATCTAGAAGTGTATATACCAAGATATGTACAGTGGTTTTCTCTAGGTTCTCTCCGGACGTATGGGCAATTTTTATTTTCTTCTTTAAGCTTCTCTATATTTTCCAAATATTCTACAATGCACTTGCATTACTTCTGAAATCAAATGTATAAAGGTTTTTAATTTTTTTTTTTAAGATGCGCACTTTCTTTTTTTTTTTTTTTTTTGTGAGGACGATCAGCCCCGAGCTAACGGCTGCCAATCCTATTTTTGCTGAGGAATCCTGGCCCTGAGCTCACATCTGTGCCCATCTTCCTCTACTTTATACGTGGGATGCCTGCCACAGCATGGTGTGCCAAGTGGTGCCATGTCCACACCCGGGATCCGAACCGGCGAACCCCCAGCTGCCAAGAAGCAGAACGTGTGCACTAAACCGCTGCGCCACCAGGCCAGCCCCAAGGTTTTTAATTTTTTTAAAAGATCTAGTTTGTAGGAGTGTGAATTAGCTGGAACTAATTGAGGTAGTTTGAGATAGTTGAGATTAGCCCAACTGTCTCAAACTCTAAACAACTGTTAGAAATAGACAGCGAGGAGAAAATGGAGGGGACCCAGAAAATCAACCTGCTATAAAGGGAAGAGAAAAGAAGTACCTGGGAGTTCCATCCAAGTGAGATGGAACATGCTATGGTTTCTTGGATTCAAACATAACATAACCTCATAGGAGAGGGAAACAAGAAGAAACAACAATCAGAAAAAAAATCTTGAGGACCTCACCCGTTTCTCTGAGCACGCATGAGCTTCACAGGGCAGTGGCAAAGGTAAGACGAAGGTAGATATCAAGCCCTCCCCCTAAACTTCACTGCTTCGCCGACTTCCAGGTGAGACAAGACTGAGAGAAGAAATCAGAGGTCAAAAGCACCTCAAAGGCATCCCTAAAAGGAAGGGGTGGAAACACTTCCTTGACAGCAAGTCAGGAGTGGGAACGCTTGGATGGGCCAACATGCATTCTGATGGTTTTATGTCTGAGTCAAATAAGTGAGTGAAAGCAATAGGCAGAAATCAACCACACGCCAGGCAAAAGACACAGATCGGCTGGGATGAAACATGTAGAAGGGGTAACTTTATGTGTCAACTTGGCTGCATGATGGTGCCCAGTTGTTTGGCCAAATATCAGCCTAGATATGGCTGTGAAGGTATTTTTTAGACGTGATTAACATTTAAATCAGTAGACTTTAAGTAAAGAGAATTCCCCTTCAAAACATGGGTGAGCCTCATCGAATCACTTGAAGGCCATAGGAGAAAAGACTGAGGTTTCGCAAACAGAAGAAACTCAGCCTCAAGACTGCAATGGAGAAACCTTGCCTGGGCTTCCAGCCCACTGGCCTGCCTTACAAATTTCAGATTTGCCAGCCTCCACAATAAAGTGAGCCAATTTCTTAAAAAACAAATCTCTCTATTTCTCATTCTCTCCTCCTCTTTTGCTCTCTCTCTCTCTAGATATAGATATACATAGATATAGACATATACTCACATACAAATAGTATATAATACATCTATATACAAAATACACAAAGATATAGACACACAGATAAATCTTAATGCTTCTGTTTCTCTGGAGAACCCTGACTAAAGCAGGTAATAAAAGATGAAATCTGTTAACAGAGACCAACCGGGCAGAACCTTGACCTAGAGGAAATGGAATTGAGATTGGCTAAGGCAAGCAGCAATAAAAGATCAAGGATTCCTGGACATATAAATGACATTATAAATAATACATTTAGTGAAGGCTATTCTGGAATCTATAATATGCATAATATGAACTAGATCAGAAGGATGCTACAGTTAGAACACATTTGGAGAAATCTAGGCCAAAGGATTCTGTGGGTGGCTGTAGAAATAAAAAGGAACCCATCCATACAATAAGGATATAGCAAACAATTTAACAGGCACATTTTGCATTCTCAAGATCTTTAAGTAGATGTTCTACAGGAATACTGTTCATATATAAAGATATTAACTTACCATATTTGTCTCGCAAGCCAACAGTACATCTAAAGACTCCACCAAAGGCAACATCTTCACCAAATATTACTGGAAAACAACATTTAAAGAACACATTTTAACAATCCCTAAATGACAGTAACAATAAGTAATTTAAATGTTTACATTTTAAATCATAAAACAGAAATGGACCATAGATCTAAATTAAGTTTCTCAATTTCAACATTATTAACATTTTTTTTGGACTGGATAATTCTTTTGTTGTAGTGGCCTGTCCTCTGCATCACAGATATATTAGCAGCATCCTTGCTCTCTACCCTGTGGATGACAGTTGTCCCCACATACACAGCTGTGACAGCCAGAAGTGTCTCCAGACATTGTTAAATGTAAGAGGAGGAGGGGGGATGAAAATTGTGCCAGTTGAGAAAGAACCACTGATCTTGAATTTCACCTTGTTTTCACCATGTTGTTCACCCACGAATAAAATGAAGCCAGAGAAGTAGCGAAGTAACCTGCCAAGTCAGAAAGCAGGAGGCAGAACCATGACTCACACTGCGGGCCCCCGAGTCCCTGGCCAGTGTTTTTTTTATACGTGGTATACAATGAGAGTCAGCAATCTGAAAAGCTGAAGGAAAAGCACTCTACGCTGAGACGACAGTCACAAATAGGAAAGTGACTTAGACTGTGTGAAACAGGAGGAGGCAAGTCTGGTGGGACATGGACAGCAAGGCAATGAATAGCACAGGTAGGGCTTGAGAGGAGCTTTGAAGCAAGGCAAAGAAAATAACAGGCATTCGTAGCACAGAACTCTGGACCTCAAGAAAATAAGTCACCTTGCTCTACTCACCCAGATCAATCATTGTCAGCATTCAAAACAAAGCAAGGTCTAATTATCCACTAGTCTAGCTCTCACTTCCTCTTACAAAATAACCTGGTTTTCACTTGATCTTAAAACTAGGGACTCTCAAGTGGAAGCACGAGGTATACTAACTACACATATGAAGTAAAGCCAATTAACCTTAGAAAACACACAGCAGGAGGACAACTGCTTTTATATCAATAATTTAACTTGATAAGATAAAGTTACTTATACAGTTATTTATAAATATTAAAGTTATTTCCAAAAAATCTTACAACTTGAATGACAATATATCCCAAAGGAAAGCACGGAATCAAATCCTCGTTTTATAAACAGATAGCTGAACAAAGTGGTATTTTCCATTTTTTCTACACGCTAAAGAAACAGCAGTACACAGTAGGTATATAATATTGGGACCACTTAGACTACGGAAGAAAGTTAACTTGATGATGTTAGATATGCATGAGAACTAACTCACAGCGAGGAGATAAAAGATGTGTTCATATCATAATTTGATTATTTAACCTTAATCATTTCATTAGGTCTTTTAAAAATTCCAGGTAGATATCATGTTAACCATTGAGCTCCAGACAAATATTTCCAGCAAATCTTCAATTCTGAATTAACACAACTGCCACAGTCAAGCACAAAGCAAGTTTACCTGCAGTAGGATCTTTAGCCAATGAGTTGTCCAAGGCACTTGTTACTGCCTGGAAAAGATTCATTTTCTGAGTTTGCCCTGTGAAAGTTAAAAAAAAAAAAAAATTGTAACATTTCATACATTGTAAAATATGTAAAAAATAACCAGTTTCTTAACAGTTGATTACAACTGGATTAAATTCAAGGTAGAAATGAGGGTACAGAATATATTATGTGAATGTATTGCATTATTTACAATGATGCCAGCTTTGTGGAAGATGCAAAAGGAATGCAGATTTCAAGAAGCTTGTCAATGAGGCAAAATTTGCACATTAAATAATTAAAAACAAGTATAAAAAAGAAGGAAGGAATATAATCAAGTGACCAAATGTGTGTAGACAATAAAAAAAAAGCTCCAGAAAGTCAGAAGAGGGAACCAGCCAGAGTGAGAGGGGTTTGGGAAGATTCCCTGGACGAGTGTTAGGAAACTAAGCCCTCATGGCGGCACGTGACCAGTGGCGTCTGTTGCATATGCCACAAAGAGCACATAGTCATGGGCCGTCAAACAATGAGGAAGGCTGAAGATCAACATGAGTGCCTAGAACTGCCATGTTTGGAGAATACCATAACCCCACACCTAAACACGTGAGAGCTAGTCCTATTCTCTTACTGCTCAAGGAGAATCTCTGCAGGACAACCTCCACCTCCCTAAGCGGGTTGTCGGGAGGGCTGAATGGAATGTACACTTGAAGCACCTGGAGCAGTAGGTGATGCAGTAAGTGCTGAACAAATATTAGCTATTTACTGCTAGATTCTCGACTTTGTCGGTGTCCTTCATCTTGACCTTGGCATTATTCTGAATGGTATAAAGCTTTATTTAATAGTTTCCAAATGTTGGAATTCAGAAACATCATGACTTTAGGACTCTGAATTAAGCCTCGGTGCTGCCCAGTGCCCACAGACACCCCAGAACTTTGGGTCAACTCCTCTCCAAAAGCACTATTTGGAGCAGAGAAAGGCTTCTGCCTGAAGCTTCTCTGAGCCACAGGCCCAAGCTTCACTTTTGTGCCTGCTCCATGCACTCGTGCTCACCTTAACCCACAGCCACCCTGATATCAATCCCATCAACACCTGCTGCTTACCCTAACCACTGTCCCACCCAATCTCTGAGCTCCTCAGTAGCCTGGTGTGTCCCAAAAGCTAAGGTCTAATTCCCAGGGTGGGTCACAACCCACCTACTGCTATTGCTACTGCTCCATCAACCCTCCAGCCCTGAGACACACTGGTCACTCCTCCTTTTCCTGGAGACCCATCGTCTTCCCAAGCCTGGCCTGTCTCCACAACAGGCTCTAACCTATGACATCTTGAATCTCCCACTATCCACTGACACCCAGCCTTCTGACTTTCTGCCTGCTCCGGCCTCAGATGTCTCTCTGACCCCTTCAACACTGCTAAACGCCCAGGCTTCGGGTCTTGGCAACACCCAAGCAGATCTGCCCTCCTGCCTCTGTACCCAAAATAGAGGCCTATTTCTACTCTTCCTATTGATGGGGATAATAGGAATTTATTCAAGAAAGCACCGTTACATCACCTACGTCAAAGGATACATGATCACACCACATGTCCATGATTACTTCATAACTTAATTTTCCTCAGGCTAAGCCTTTATTATTTAATAGATACTTTCCTTAACTCCTTCTCCATTCTATAAAAACCCTGTAAAGTGTTTATTGGTGCCCAGAATCAGATGATAATGGTTTAGGGTAAACTTTTTTCCCAACCACCATGACATTCCCACTCTTTCTCCTATTTCATATATTTCCTAAAGTAAGATTTCTATTTGTCTATTAAGATTTTCATAGCTAAGAACCTAGGAAGAATGACACTTCCTAAGCATCTAAGCTGGTATCTGTTTCCCATCTGCTGACCATTTGAATTAATACCAAATGCCCCCCACCCCCGACCTCTTTATCTCCTTGCTGCTCAGCAAGTTTTCAGCAGGAAGAAAGCAAAAACTTTAATAATAAAAATCATACAAAGGAAATCTGAAAAGTATTGCTTGATAACCACAAATAATTTACTTTTCTTATATGAAAATAATTTACAAGTAAGGGTATTTAAAGGTTATATTTCCATATGAGCACATAAACTTTCACTCCTGAATACTTTTTTCAAATAGATTCAAAATTTTAGGAGTTTGGATTAACTGCTATTCTACTAGAAGCTTTTAAAAGTTTTAAATGACAATTATTAATACAGCACATCTTTTGATTCTTTTTAAAGCTCATTTTTAAATGAGCTGCTCACTTGAAATTGTCCTAAGTAGAGCATCGTGAATGAGCAGGTCTTCATCACTGCTACGAAGACCAAGTGACACATCACCAAGTGACACAGAAGACCAAGTGACACATCACCAAGTGACACATCGGCAGAATGTTAGGGACACAAGAGAAGATAAGCTCCCAGACGGGAGTGATTCTTATCTGCTCTTGATCAGAGATAAACGCTCAGCGCTTACAACAATGGCTGACATGTGGCAGCTGCTCACTAAATATCTGTTGCACGAATGACTGAATAAACAAACAAATAAGGCTGTTTCAATAAAGATTTAAAAAGCACACAAAGCAAACTGTTAGTCAACCACTTAAAGAAAAAGGAACGAGTAGGAAAAAAGATCTACCAGAGTCACAGTTCAAAGACAGACAAGAGAATGGGAGCGGGGAAGAGGTGATACTGCAGTAATGGTCTAAAGGATTATTCACTTATTCTAAATATTCAGTATGCAGTAGGGCTGAAGGAAGAGAGAAGCCTTCTGGAGCTGCAGCATCTCAGACAGAAGAGGCAAGTGGGTGCCCGAGGAGCAGTCTCCAGAAAGAAACAAGGTCAACAGCAGGGCATGTAGAAACGAAGCATTATTTGTAGCCAGACCCCCAAACAAATAAAAATACACAGCCATGATGAAAAAAGTTAGGGTCTACTTTCAGAAGATGAAGCCTCTGCCGAGACATTCAGCACTGGCCCTCAAGTGAGCTGCCTAGTCCTTGGTATAGACGTGTGTATTATAGCACTTCCTTGTCATACTCCTTAGAGACCTCAGCATTGAGCACAGTGTCTAACACACACACGAGAATCAGTATCTGTCTGTTGAAGCACGAGGAACGAATGGTTTCAGTGGCATAATCCAGCACTAACCACACTGTGAAATGAAGGATGCCTTCATTTCTCCCAACAAAACCCATCCCTCCAGATATTCTCCAGGATCCTTATGTGCCAGGTGTGTACCTCTGTCTCATTCTAATCCCTATTAAAGGGTAGCTCAACCTGTACGCCATAAAGTAAGTTTCATGGAGAATTCAAATATCAAGGACAGAACATTTATATTAAAATGTAAATGAAGGAACCATAAACACAAATGCCTTTTTAAGGTGCCAGTGTATACTGCATATTGATGAAAAGGAACAAAGTAAAGGAAGGGAAGGGGTTGTCACCTGAGGCTGAAATTGGGAGGACCCAGGAGGCTTAAAGTTGAAGAAACTGTGGAGAGGGTCCTTAGGTTCCCCTCTCAAGGTACCCGGTAACTTCAGTTACGGTATGACAAGTTATGGTCGCTTCCCTTCCTTTTGCTAGCTCCTTCTCTACTCAGTCTCTAAATGGTTTTTAAGCCCAGCTATAGGCTAGTGCCCCCTAAATGGGTATCTCCAATCCAGACCTCTCCTGTAAGCTCCTGACTTATATCCCACAATCATCAGTTCTCCGCATGGATGTCTTGGGCTTTTCTAACTCAACAAGCACAAAACTGGACTCTTGATGTCTGCTCCCAAAAACCAGTCTTTCCCATCTTAGCAAACGGCACTACCCTCTACCCAAGTGCACAAGCCAGAAACTGAGGAGGCATCCTTGAATGTCTTCCTTCTATTCACTTCTCATACACAATCCATCAAATCCTACTTCCAAACACATTACTTCAAATTATAGGTTAAAATCTGGTACTACCATGTCCTATTTCCAGAACTCACCATCTCTTTCCTATCCCAGGAAACCACCTCCTAATGGGGATATAAATATGATTATCATTTTACTCATATTTTAGCAATTTCACAATTATGGAAGGGGGGTTAAAAAGACCTGTACTCTATTTCTCAAGCATTGGACTAAAGTTTTGTTTCTTTCTAAGACAGAATTCGAGGTTCAACTTGTCAGTGAGAAAAAAACTGCTATTCACCTTTATAATATTTACTTAACTGTTTCACACAACTGAGACGCTTCTTAGTAAGTTATTTCTACATGCATTTTAGCACACTGTTTAGACTGGAAGCTCTGGAATCTGAATAACTACAATTCCAAAGCCGAAGCTACCACTAACTTACCTGTGTAACCTTGGACAAACTATCTCAAGACCTCAATTAACCTACCTGGAGGTACTAGGTTGTCCTAGGCATCAAATGAGATGATGAATGTAAATTTCTCAGCACAGTGCCTGCCCGTAGTAACCACTCAATAAATGTTCATTCTTATTATTCACAAGTAAACGCACACTTCCAAAAACGTCAGCTCTAGCATATGAGAAGTTATTAGACCAGGGAAAGGTAACTGTTTCCTTATTGGTTCCGATGTTCTGATGATAGACACTGGATCTTTTGGAGATTACATAAAACTTGCAGAAGAAATCGCAAAAGTTATGCAACTGTCATACCGTGAGGTGTGAGCTGTGGCTACATGTCCTTCCTACTGCTGGAAACACCATGATTTCCTCGTCCCATCACCCACATCCATTACCCCTCTTTGGCTAAGGGGCAGTCTGGCCCAACACAGGCCCAGTACTAGGCTCAAATAGAAAGCCTGGATTCTTTCCCATCTCTGGGAAGAACCTATTCCTCCGTTTTCTCCTACCTGCCAAAGCAAAGGAACACTATCTTTCTTTTAAATCTTCCTGCTCGTCCTTAGTGGCCCAGCCACGGGCAAGCTGAGACAATACCTAAGGCCTAACCCTTTCCCCGCTTGAGAAAGCAAGGAGGGAGAACGGAGAAAGGGAGGCGTTCCCTGGGCACCACCACCTCCACCTTCAGGCCCTTCCAGACCGCGGTGTGCCCTCTCACTCATCCCGAGGGTGCCCAGGGGCTGCCTCTAGAATGTGGAACCGTCACAAAAACAGAGAAAGGAGGAAACCACAGTCAGACCCTAAGGCGGGACGAGACTCCAAAGAGCAGAGCAGGGATTTTGCCAATATGCAAGGAGATCGGCCTGCCGGTCCCCGCCCAGGACAGGCAAGGCTGCACTCCTTGCTTGTGCCCGCCGGCCTGGGAGTCCGGGCTGCAGCGGAAGCGGACAGGGCAGCCCCCAGCTCACCGTACTCCAGGGGCTCCGGGTCCGGCTGGAAAGTGAAGTGAGCCACCCGCCGCCACTGGGCAGCATCCTCGCCGGCCGAGGCGGGCTGCAGGAAGCCCCGCGGCAGCCCCGCGCCACGCAGCCGACGCCAGTGTCCCCCGGCCCCGGCTGCACGGAGCCTCAACAGCCGGCACGCAATCGCTGCTGCGACCGCCATCCCCACTCGCAGCCCGGGTTTGCAAGCTACGCCGCCGCACTCTGCCGGCAGGGAGGGCGGAGCACCGAGGCGGCTTCCACATTGGTTGGGCTGAAGGGGCGGTCCCATGAAACGGACCCATCGGAGCTCGGAATTCGGGGGTGGGGAAGGCGACGAAGACGGCGGAGCGGCGTTTGCCTGTTGTGCGCATGCGGAGGAGGAGGTGGGGCTGGTGCGAGCGGGCCCGCGGATGCCGATGAAGTTGTTCCTGGAGGCGGAGCTTGCCTAAAGTCAGCAGCGTGGGCCGGGGGTCAGCTCGCGGGTCTGCGGGGTTATGTCTGCGTTTGTTCTTTTCCAGCGTCCTTTAAGTTGTCAGCTCTGAGGGATTCTTCATTATAAGATTTATACTTTCTTTTAAAATGTAGCCCTGTTTCTGTCCTCTCCTATTCTTTACCTCTACTGTCTTCTAAGTGAGGGATGCAAAGGATTACTGACTAGCATTGGTTATTAGTCTTTGAGTTTCAGAAAACTGCGGAAGAGCCTCCGCTCTTTATTCAAACCCCCTTAAATGCTTAATAAGCATGTATAGATGTGTGTGTGTGTGTGTGTGTGTGTGAGAGAGAGAGAGAGAGAGAGAGAGAGATTAGCCCTGAGGTAACATTTGTTGCCCATCATCCTCTTTTTTTTTTCCTTTCCTCCTCAAAGCCTCCCCAGTACATAGTTGTCTATCCTAGTTGTACGTCCTTCTAGTTTTCTATGTGGGATGCAGCCACAGCATGGCTTGATGAATGATGACTAGGTGAGTGCCCAGTATCCAAACCAGAAGACCCCTGGGCAGGGAAGCAGTGCATGAACCTAACCACTATGCCACAGGCGGCCCCTATAGATTTTTATTGATTGTGTTTTTCTGGATTTAGATAAGAATGAAAGAAGTGAACTTCGATTTCATCCTGCAGATCCACTTAATAGAAATTCAGCTGCATTTTTGCCCAGGTGCAGTGAAAATGACCTGACGGGCTTACTGTAACTAGCTTAGAAACCTGGAAAGGTTGAATCATTAGTTTACGTTTACAATAATCAACTTTGTAAATTTTCTTTTTAAAAATCCAAATGTTTAAAAGGATACCATCTCTGTCCATGAATTTACAAATCACAGTAAAATATGACAGAGACAAAAGTGAAAGGGTTTCCATTAGATAAAGATGGGAGGGTGGGAAAGGAAAGGCCCAGAACAAAATTTGAAGAAGAAAGACGGGCAGAGAATGAAGGGTAAGGAGTAGGCGGAAAGAATGTTCCCCTTTTGTTATTCCTGCCCTCCCACCCATCTTTGGTTTTGCAAGGAAGCAAAGGAGAGAGAAGAAATTGGGCAAGAGGAATGGCAGAGAGTTGCACCAGCTGCTTGTTTTCTGACTGAGATTCAGAGACAGAAATTAGAAACTGCCAAAGGGAGAACCAGAATTATATCTCCATTATTCCTACTCCCACACCAAACTCCAAAATTCAACATTTTGGGGATTTTTAACCTTGGTTTTTGTTAGTGTTAACTTCTACTGTTTAGTGGTGTGTGTGTGTGCTGTGTTGCGTTCCTCATTTTTACGAGTGTGAAGGTATTTTTTATTTTATTTTAGCAGAGGAAAGGGGTAACAAAATAAATTGAATTGCCATAGTCAAATTTTAATTTTAGAAGAAGGCAAAGAGCAAGGATAAAAATGAATCAAGCTGCATTTTCTCAGTTTGTTGATAATCTAGGGAGCTGGGGTGCTGAGATGATTTAGGCCTGAGAGAAAAAGGATAAAAGGACTAGTGAGAATTTATTGAATATTTGCTATGTACCAGCCAAAGACAAGCCACCATTGAGACAAATATGTTCAAAATGTAGTCTCGATTTAAGAACGTGCAAGTTGGTGGAGAAAGGAGACAGATTATATGCCAACTACAATCCAGTGCGATGGGGGCCCTGGAACAATGGGAACAAAATGAAACATACAAAGAGCAATAGCTCTGCTTTTGGAAGTCAAGAACGCCTCCAGAAAGAACATGGAGCTTCTAAAAGATGAGTAGGGGCCAGCCGGTGGGGCAGCGGTTAAGTGTGCACGTTCCGCTTCAGTGGTCCGGGCGGGGTTCACTGGTTCAGATCCCTGGAGCAGACATGGTGATGTGGATTAAGGCTGCCCCAGCTAGAGAAGCCCAAGGTGACCTGGCCTACATGCCAAACCATACGACCCAGTGGACTTTTTTTATGGTATGAATTAGGACCGCCCCAGGGAGAGAAGCCCAGGGCATCCTCACCTACATGCCGATCTATATGGCCAGATTCGTATCTAAAGTTATATGACCGCACAATAACCAGACCCCATCTGCACTGAAATCATTTAATGACATTTTACATCATCTTTTCTTTTCTCCAGTAAAAATAAGTCACGTACCCATGCCTTATAAAATTAGCCCTAACCCTCAACTCGGGGCAGCAGCAGGAGCTCTGACCGCCCGTGGGTCCTGTCCCCACGCACCAGCTCTGCCTGCCCATGGGTCCTGTCCCCATGCCAGCGGGGGCAGCAGCAGCTGCTCTGCCTGCCCATGGGCCCTGTCCCCATGCCAGCGGGGGCAGCAAAAGCGGCGGCAGCAGAAGCTCTGACTGCCCATGGGTCCTGTCCCCATGCTATTCCACACTATTCTCTAAATAAAAGAGCACTACTGCCAGATCTTGAGAGTCTAAAAAATCTTTCTTTCGACTCCTTGGCTCACCGACCCCGCATCAATGGCACCACTTGGCAAGCCATGCTGTGATAGGCACGTATAAAATAGCAGAAGATGGGCACAGATGTTGGCTCAGGGCCAGTCTTCCCCAGCAAAAAGAGGATGATTGGAGGCAGATGTTAGCTCAGGGCTAATCATCCTCAAAAAAAATTTTTTTTTTTTTTTAAAGATTGGCACCTGGGCTAACAACTGTTGCCAATATTTTTTTTTTTTTCCTGCTTTATCTCCCCAAACCCCTCCTGTACACAGTTGTATATCTTAGTTGCATGTCCTTCTAGTTGTGGGATGTGGGACACCATCTCAATGTGGCCTGACAAGCGGCGCCATGTACGCGCCCGGGATCCGAACCCTGGGCCGCTGCAGAGGAGTGCGCGAACTTAACCACTCGGCCACGGAGCCGGCCCCCAAAATTTTAAAACTTTAAAAAAATAAAAGTTACCAGGCAAACGGGAAGAGAAGGTATTCTAGACAAAGGAAAAAACACGCGCAGTCTCACAGACATGAGAACACAGTGCATTCAAGGGAGAGAAGCCAGCTTGGTGCTGCTAGACTCAGGGTCTAGGGAAGGATAGATGGATTGACAAAATTAGGAAAAATAAATCAGAGGGAGACTTTGAAGGTCATATGCAGGTCTAACAAGTTTGGACTTCCAGCTTCCTGCAGTCAGAAATGACAGAGAGAGCACCTAACAGATGTGTCTGCCCAGCGAATCACTTTTTTTTTTTTTTTTTTTTGAAATTTTCCCTGTCTCTACTGCACCATCTGCCTGGTAACCATGGAACTGTCTATGTCATTAGAGTGGGGCTCAACCTGGCCACACTTCATTGATATTAAGTTGGGGACTGACTGTCATACTCTGGGAATTATGGAAGTGTAATTTAGAAAGAACTAGAAGCAAAGTTTCCAGTCATTCCTCAGAATGACTCCTGCCTCACTTTTTACCACTGAGCTTCATTACCTGTGCAGCTTGTAGCTGTTTGGACTCAGCTGGCTTTTGGACACCCATCTGACATAGCAACATAATATTTTTGTAGCATTATATCCCTATATCCTAGCCCCTGCTCCCATTCAAACCCAACCAGAGCCATCAGGGAGGCAAGCAGCAAGGGAGTCAAATGCTTGCTTTAGAATTTTAAAATAGATTTTAAAGCTGATGGCAGAGACAATGATTTGAGAAGAGTTTGAGTTTTAAAGTCTGGTGTCTGAGTATTAAACCTCAAGACCCTGGATGACTTAGGGCATAAAGTTTGTGACCTACAAAAGATTATAAAGAGCATGCTAATTTGAGAGCCTGTTCTTCCCACCTTCCAGGGAGACAGAGCCATAGAACGCAAAGAACCATATTGGTTACAAGCTCCCAAAATCACCTCTGGCTAATTTAAGCAGAACTGTAATTACCTTAGAAGATATGTGATGGCCCACAAAAAGTGAAGAAACAAATGGCTTAGAAAAAACAGAAACCAGGGCAGTCCCAGAGATCCAGGTAATCAGAGGTAATTTATAGACTAATAAGGATATTAAAATCTCCAGGATGAATTGACTCTATTTTATCTGTCTTTGAGTGATTTTGGTCAAGATTCGGTTCCTGGGGGAGAGAATCTGGTTAGTCCAGATTAGTTCATCGCTATCCCTTGACTAAAGAAGAAAAGGATGTCTTATTGACCAAGATTATCTACAAAGTAAAAGAGAAGATTACCCAAACTTAAATCAAGGAGCAGCTACCAACCAAAGAGGGAACTGGTGCTTGGAAGCCAAGAGGAGACCTGCTGACCATGCAGTCATCCTGCCTGGGAGGTGCCACTGCGCCCGCTCCAGCAGTGAGAATTTCACCATGAAACCTTCCTCTGGATTCTTCAACATAGACTGAAGCATTGCCACTGCTATAATATGCCTCTGAATTTCTGCGGGATAGTGGTGGCCTCACCATCTGAATCCCCCTACGTCTTCTCTTAAAAAAGAAGCAGAGTAAAAAGGAAAGCAAATTAAACCAACAATTGACATCTACAGAATAGTTAGGACACAGAAAAGTCCACAACCTCCAAATTTAGGTGTTAGTGAAAAATAAACAGACTTGGCGTTGGGCTTGCAGAGGTTAGGAAGGAGTTTAGAAAAAGCTTTGCTTACAGGAAGAAGATAATCAGAATAATCCTATATATATAGAAAAAATTAAATCCATACTTTAAAACACCCCAATAGAGAAAACTCCAAGCTCAGATGGCTTCACTAGTGAACTCTACCAAATACTTAAGGAAGAAATATTACCAATTCTATAAAAAAATATTGCAAGATAAAGAGGATAAGGTAGTACTTTCAGAATTC